GAGAGAGGGAGAGAGGGAGAGCAAAGAGATTCATTTTACAATTCCAATTAAATAGAAATGGAGTAAAATTTAATTTTTAAATTCGTAAAAGTTGTAATGTGTCGAAAGATTGAAATTCTCGGAACCCAGAATACTTATTTCCTTCTTTTTAAAAGTTTCGGACTTGGACGGATTTCGAATCGCAAGTAAGAGTAAAAGAAAAAACTTTCAAGATTTCGAAAAGTTTTCAAGTTTCGATCCAATCTTGCCATTTTTCGAAAGTATCTCGGCTTTAAACTGTTGCAATGATTAATTAGAATTAGTCCCTACATTCCGGGCATACCTGCATGCTTCGTGCTCCTTGCAAGCTTCCGCCAAACTGTGACACGTCGGCATTTCCGCGCCCTCGACTCGCTGCGCGCAAGCAGGATGCATCTTTTCCTGCGCGATTATACACTCGTCCTTCTTTCCATCCGTTTTCCTGTAAAAAAAATATCGTTACTATTTTTTTTACCAACAATACCATAAACGCAGATCTCTTAGATCTCGATTCTCGATTGAGAAAAAGATTACGTACGTGAGAACGTGTTTTCGAATAAAAGGAAAGTGATTCGATTCATCGAAACAGAAAAATTTCTTTCGTCTCGAGCGAATTTTAATCGCTTTCGCTATCATCGACTTCTCTCGCCTACGCGATACCAAAAATATACTCGAGAAAGATCGTTGCTTGACCATGTTTATTGAAGGAAAAAAAAAAGAAAAAATTGATGATAAAAACAAAATATAATATACATTTCCAGATAGAAAGATACATCTTACGAAGAGCGAGTACAGTAATAGCGAAAGAATTTAAAGAAAGGAATCGCTCAGCAACGCGAGACAGTAGATACTGTTCAGGATTAAACGAGACAGATTAATCCTCGACTGTCATCTTCGTCTCGCGCGAATTTTTCCATCAATTGCGAATTTTTCCATCAATATCCCTTTATCGAACTTTTAAAGGAGCGTTCCCGCTAATTCCAGCCATCTATTTAATTAGTCGACAGGCTCGAACGGACAAAGCTCCAACTCGAATCAAACGAGATCCTCCCTCCTCCTCCTCCTCCTCCTCGTTCAACAAAAACCCCGTGAATATTACAAGGGCAGGCTCTCGAAAGTAAAACGTGCTGCCCCGCACTGCTGAATGAATGATCGCGTCTTAAACGGCCGTTAAGCCGGTTGTTGAACCAACCTGAGAATACGAGTTTCCACCAATTTGTCAAAGGGGGCTACGACTCATCCAATATTAATAAATTCCGAGATGATACCGATGATATCCCGTGGCGGGACAAAGGAAAGGAACGGGATTTCTCGGGACAATGAACACGAGAGAGGAAAGAAGGAAAGAGAGAGAGAGAGAGAGCCGTACGAGGAAAAGTTGGCGGAGAAAAAGAGGAAGGAGGAGGAAAGGGATGGCCGAGGAAATGTGAAAGACGGATAGAAAGTTTCTGCATTGTTTCGCGGGCAAAAGCCACTTAAAAGTTAAAGGAGCTTCCTTCGGAAAAAGAAGTCTCGGCTGGTTGCTTGGGTCGCGCGAAGGGATTAGAGATGCAGAACTCGGGGTATTTCCGGCGCAACGACGCTTCTTTGTGAGAGGGGCGCCCTCTCACCCCCTTTGTCTTTTCCCTATCACTTTTGCCGCGAGTTTACTCAGGATTACGGGAAACGTACAAAGACGAGCGGCTTTAATTGAGTCGTATCCCGAGCTCTCTCGTGTTTCCACAGAGACCTTCCATCCCTTCCTCCCCCTCCCCCCCTGTTCGAATAATCGTTTGAAACTCGACGTATTCCGCTTCGTATTCGCGGGGAAGGTATCCTCGGTTTAAGGTACTGCAATCGTTTCGTCATTTAAGTCGCAATCGTGACCACGAAATCTTATTCACGCGCGAAATTAATTATCGGCAGAATTTATGGTTCACGACGTTGTATCATCATTGTGTTTGGAACAAAGGGCATCGATATAAGCGATGATAAAAGTAAAAATCTGGACGGAGGATTGGTCGACATCGATTCGAGAATATTCGTTGCGAAAATTCTCTCCGTCGAGAGGGAAAAAGCGATTTTCGCGATCCACGTGTGTTGTCGTGGATTTATAGAATTTTCTTTTATTTCGTTATCGCGGAAAGATTGCGAATTTTTTTTCTGTATTTTTCACCTCTTTACGTCTCACCTGCACAGGCAGAACGCGATCTCAACAGAGTGTTTATAGTTGGCGGATTTGTAGAAGGTCTGCAACGCTTCCATGCACTCGTTCTTCGCGCAACTCGTCGAGTCGCAATGGTTCAACATCGGCTCGAGGAGCACCTTGCACTCTGGATCGTTTCTGGAACGAGAGAAGAAGGTTATGCATTATTAATTCGATTCCATTCTCTCGGAAGCATCGAGCATTGCGGATCAATCGACCGGACGAAATACCGTAACGAGTCCAATGAATTTAAAGGATCCATGTTGTTTGTGAAAATTTATTGATTATATATATATATATATACCTACATCTACATTGAATAAATATCATTCTTTCAAATCTTTATACTCATTTCTATATAAACGGTGTATTAATAAATAAGTGATAAGTCCAACGAATTTGAAGAATTCATATTGTTTCCTCATATTAATACTTATTAATTATAACAAAATTTGAGATAATATATATGTATACGTTAAATAATTATAATTTTTCCAAATCTTTACATAAACAATACATAAACGATAAATAATCCGTAAATAAATTATCACTTGCTTACTTGCAAGCATTGTAGGCATGATGGCAAGTGCTCGAGAGCACGATCTTGACCGGTTGCTGTATCTTATCGAGATCGGAGGAGGCGGATGGCAGCACCACGGACGTCTCTGCGAAAGAAAAAAAAAAGAAGAAAAGTATACAGTTTGAGAAAACGTTCTTAAAGGGGATTTGCATGTTCTCGTGAATACGTGAATTGTGTTATGGTTGCAAGTTAAAGATCCTGGGAATACGGACAAATGGTGGCCGCCAACCGGTGATTTCGGAGGTTTATGTACCACCCGCACGAAGACGTGTCGCTTCTTAAGGGAGAATGGAGAGTTGCAAGTTCAGTTCGAGTGAGGAGTAGAGAGAGCGGAACGTGTGTTTATATCCAGTTCAGAGTGCTTTAGCCGAGTGACAAACTTATATGTTGCGTTGAATTACGGGAATTAACTCCTTAAGACGGAGGAGGAGGAGGCTTTGCGATTCGAATGGCCACGTGTTGTTGATAAAAGAATTATAGGCGGGGAGGATTGTTTGCACGGTCGATTGGAAGCGGAGGTTGTTGTTGGGAAGGCAAATGATAAATCATTAGGATGACCTCTCCTGGCCAGGGAGGGCAAAAAGGAGGGACTTTTAATAGAGAATCTTGAATATTTATCGGCCGGTATTTATCCCACCACTTAAAAATAATTGTTTATTTATGCAAATAAACGGCTTGTTTGGTTTCGCGGTACGATGCTGGAATTTATGAGACTCGAGTGGGCGGCGCCTGTTGTGAAAGAAGTGAGATTAGAACGGGGATGAATAAAAAATAATTTGCCGTGAGATAAGGAAATTTTCTTCCCCGTGTAAACCATCTTTAATCTTTTCTTTATATGAAATAATACTCGTGATTAATAATCGTTTGATCAATCGATTAACCTATAACCAACGCTCTTTGTCTCTTCTTAAAATTACACACACTTTCCATATTCCATTTACATACTCACAATCTCTATATATTATTGGCACGTGTTTTCTTTCTAAAATGGAAATAATATTAAAAAACGAAATTGATTTTTCTTTTAAATAATCGGCGATAAATAGATCCAAGGTTGGACCTATTTATCCGAAGAATCGAAGAGAAAGAAACGATTCCGGCGAAGGGAGCGAGGGAAAGAAGTTGGAAACGAGACGGGTAACAGTCGTAGAAGGAAGGATCCACCCGATGACGAATGTTTGGCGTCGTTAACCAGCCACCCTCGTTCGATTGATGGAGTTGGTAGAGGCAAGGTTAACGACCTCGAGGAACCTGAATATCGTCGGAACACTGGCCTCTCCTCCCTACGAAAAACCACTGAAACGGGTCTTAAGAGGGGTGCAGCCTACTCGGATGACTGGCCATAAGTCAGCCGTAGCGAAGAGCATGCCTTCGACGCACTTTATTAAGACAAACGACCCGGCCGACATCTTTCTGTTCCTTCCTTCCTTCCTTCCTTCCTTCCTTCTAACCGCCTGCTTTAATCGCCACCCTCGAAATCTTCGTTACAATGAGGGTGGTACACTCTTCGATCCACGGCGTAAAGAGAACTCTTCCCTTGAAAACTGGTGTCCGATTGGATCCAACTTGAATACGAGATATCATCAATTTTTTCTTTTTTAATTATATTGTCAAATTTAATTTGTACAAAACAAAATTGCATCGTCTACTCTACGTTAAATGTAGTAGTAATGAATTTTCTAAATTGAATTACAATTAATACGTTTGAATCTTTTTTGACGTTGATCATAAACTTTGAAATATCGTGGCTTTCGTCACAAATGTGAAGACTCGAACGAAGAGAGTCGAAGATCTCACGATAGATATTTATAAAATTTCTTGAATAAAACTCGAACATTTCAGGGGAAGGATTTAAAAAGAATGCCGAAACGATACAGCAACGAAAGGAATACGAGGCGATAAACAACTTATCGAATCGATCCACTTTCCCAAAGAAAGTGAAGAAGAAAATTCGAGCAAAACGAGCGAGAAATTTTAAACGGTCGAGTAATTTCGCGAAAAGTCGTCGACCCGTAAAAACTTCTCACTTTCGCTATCGATATCTCCCCGTCGAGGCGGAAAAACACCGATACAAACAAGATCGAGATCGTGCCATACACATGCAAACGTAGCAAAATCATTTCATCAACTAAATCTAGTTAATGAACTAGCCTCGAGCGATTCCTTTTCTCGAAGAATCGAAACTGTTGTTAAAGGAACTCGCTCGAAACTGAAAAGATCGTGGGATTAAGAAATTCGTCTCGAAACAAACGAAAGTGTTAAATTTATATCTTTACCAACTTCTCCTAGTTTTATTATCTTTTCTATCTTTTATATTTTTCTCTTAGATTTTTGGATATGATAATCGAAATGATTATACTGATATCAGAATTATATAATATCTCGAACGTTCCTTTTCTTAATAATTTTTTAAAACGATTTTGCTTTGGAAATAGCATTTAATAAAAAGGCGATTCTTTTCGTGGAAAATTGACACGAAAGGAACTCGTATGCAAACAATCGAAAAGAATCTTTAAAAATAATTAAATATATCGCCATCGAAAATTATTTCTCGATAAATATCGAATTACCTCGAATTAATTTTCGATACGAGACCCACAACGAGAGAGGGTTTCCATTCAAATCGACAAATCGATCACTTAAACGCGATAATCATTTCTCGCTTCCCGATATCCCCAAGAAAAATCTGACTCTCTGAAGCAGAACTCTGGAAGCAATATTGCGATAATTTACGACCCCGAATAAAACTTTCCCGAATATATCAACGCCAATAAGAGTACAGGTCGCATTGAAAATTCCGATAAGATCGCCGTATAAATTCATTCGGGATGGTTGGCGACGAGGAGGTTTTGCGGCTCTCTCTATCCAACACCACCAGGATTCCCTTTATTGATATTCCCGCAGTTTTGGAACGGGTGGCTCGGTGGTTATGAGGAAGGTATACGCGTGTCCTTGAATCGACGACACCTCGATCGAACTCCCTAAATAAAGCCGTCTCTTCCTTACGTCGCCCGAACAGAACGACAATTCCTAGACAATTAGGCGTCTGTGTCCTCGAAGAACGATCTTGTACACAGCGTTGAGAAACGGTTCAGAAACTTTAATCCCTCGCGCGAAGAAAAAAAGAATTTTATTTATCGCAAGCTCTTCCGTACCAGGAGAATAAGAACTCTCGTAGAAAGAGATTCACCACGAAATTATCGATCAGGCATCCCTAATAATTCCTTCTTCCAAGTCCAATTAACGTTTGATTCTGCCCAACTCTCTCCCCGCATAATTTTTCCCCTTAATTGGTTCCCATCGGTTCTCCAAGCGTCACGCAGCCATCCATCGTCCAATTAAAATGATCGTTACGAGTGTCGAGAAAAACCCTTCCGCCAAACAAACTCCTCCGAGGAGTTTGCTCTCTCCGCGAGGGGACAGCTCGATAAGGAGGAGGAATGCGCGAAGGAATATCAATCGTCGAGGGTTGGGCTCCTTGATCGCGAACAGATTCCTCTAGTTGGCCGGAGAAACACAGCCAATTCGAGGCGGCGGTAATTGGAACCGGTGTCCGTCTGGCTGCTCGAGAGATCGATGCCGTGGCCCGCCCCACACCCGCCCTCCTTCCTCCAGAACCTTTCCTCCGAGAGACGCGGCTGCACGCTCGACCAGGATTCGGTGGCCACTACTCGCGAAAATGGGATGAAAAGGGATCTCGATCGTCGATTCGAACGTGTTGGAAAAGTTTGGAGATATTTTTGTTTATCCCAGAGATACAACGGGCAACTTGCTGAGATGAATCTACGAATTAATTTTGGAATTCTTTTTTTTTTTTGATGATGTATCATATTGAATTTTCAGAAATTTGTCGCCTGTAATGTTTAAGCAAGGTTGATAGTTAACCGACTTTTTAATGGGTTTCAAAACGATGCGTTGTAAGAAGAAAATAATCGCGAAAAAAGTATTGAAATCGATTTTTTTGTAAAACGAGAGCTTTTAACGTTGTATACAAAATTTCTTTTGAACTTATCTCGGTATAAATGAATAGTATCGAATATCGATCCATGATTCCATTGATGTATCGATTTTAGCAGAGACATTAATCCGATAGAATAATAACCACGGGAATCGAATTACGAGGTTGATCGATGAAAGAGAGATTGCTCGACCAAATTTAAGGAAGAATTTATTATAATTGCGAACGACAGGAAATAAACGAAGACGAGCCTCGAATTTCAGATTCGATGCTCCGTTTTTTTCTTATCGAGAATTCGATGAAAAATTTCGAGGTCGAAAGAAGAACAAACAAGGGCGTGAAAAATCGTGCCGATTGATGATGCTTCCGTCATGTTCCGGCAACAATTCTGTGTATCTTGCGGCGCGTTCTGTCTGTTTGCGTTTTCGCATGATTGTAACGGATATTTCGTGTGTACCGACTAATTAGCACGCCACTAATAGCCAGAAAAACACGAGAGAGGGGAAAAAAACGCGAAAAAGCCTCAAAATGATCGACAATCGGATTTCACCGATTGTAATCGCACGTTTCAGTTAAGTTAATTGAATAATTAGGCGATTGGCGCAACTGCTCGATGAAAACTTTTGTGGCGACACGAAAAAAAAAAAAAGGAAAATAAAATAACAAAAAAAAAAAACAAAAACAAAAATGTTATCGCGCGAAACAACAAATTTCCAAACAAGCAAATGCGTCGGATGAAATTTATAACGAGAGGATCGAAGTTTTGCGATCGATCGAATCGATAGCTAATCGAAAACGAATGAAAAACAAACGCGGGCGAAAAATTATTATTCCACGCCAATTCCAACCATCGCAGCCGGTCACAGCCTCGTTGTACACGCGATTAAACTCGCGTTGTATCCGTCAACAGGGATGAATATGAATAGATGTAAGAATTGCGGAATTGCGGATTGTAAAAGTCGAGGATCTGCCGAGAGAGAGTTTCGGTTCCTCCTCCTAAACCTTTCTCCTCTCATTTGTGTGTGTGTGTGTGTGTGTCGAGTAGCAGGCAAGACGTACAAATTAGAGAGAGCGTTGGAGCGACTGTTATGCAAATGAAGCAAATTGTAGGATGAATGTCCTGCAAG